CGCGTTGCTGCTGCCCTCAGACCTCGACATCGCCGCTCGGACGCCTCTCCGTGTGCCCCTCGCGTAACGGTGAATCTGGGCGTGACGGGAAGGCAGGAGGTCCGACCGAGCAGGTTTCTCTCGGGGGGGGGCGTTGCTCAAGCAAGGTATCACCTCCGCTGCTATGTCTGAGGTAGGACGTGATAATTTAACAGTTTTAAGAGGCTAGAAGAACGAGAAGGTAAAATGAAACGCTTCACAAGTTCCTCACAGAGTACTTCCGAACAAAACGGAGCATAAACTCGAATAACTGCAGTCACGCCTCAGTTTCTGAAATCGGGATGGTTTGAGAAAGCTAAATGGGATTATGCTTGGCTGGCACAAATTTAATCTTCAAAGATCTGCTCAGGGTAGCTGTGAATGAAGTCTCGGATCTCTCTTTTTCCAGTCTCTCCTAGGACGAGCGGGCTGAGGGCTCTCGGCCTGCCTGGGCTGTGGCAGAGCACAAAGACCTCCGCAGTGTTCGACAGGCAGCAGAGACTGAGCAGGCCCTGGCACGGCTTGGACGCAGCCTTGGGTATCCTGCTGTTTACTCTGTTGTACTGTGCCCACAGGAGTGGGTCCAGGTGTGTGACTGAGGGCACACACACCTAAAGCACCATTTAAAGCACTTTTTTTTTAGTAGTTTGCTGTTTCCTGATTCATTTTAACAGATTACTTCAGTTGGTGAGGAAGAGCTTTAGAGTACGTAAAATTAACATAACTTTATGATTTTCTTACAAATAAATCTAAAAATATAACAATTATTTTTATATTGCTGTTTGCCTACCCAGAAAATCAATGGACCGTTTCCAAGGGACATTTTGGGCCCCAACTCTTTTCCAGATCTCAGGATTATCTAATCAGAATTTCACGAAAGAAAAACCAAAGACATTAGCCTGTCTGGACTAGGTTCGAAATCAAGGTGTCAAGTCCAGAAAAAAAAAATACCTGTTTTCAATTTAGACAAAATATGATCAGAAAATGCTGATTTTGTTGAAACTGGGAATTATTATATACCTTTACCTCTGAATTGTTTGTAAATACACGGTACCATTAACAAGGCAGTTCTGGTAAGCACCCAAAAGATCCCAGCAGTATAGAGAGTAACGATATATACTGTATGAACACTGGAGCAAAACTTGGGGCAGTACTTTTACCTATGAAAATTTAATTTTTTCCATCTGAAGCTGACAGAATAATCTTTATTGTGTGGAGATGTAACAGAAAAACCTTGCAGGCATCTCGGTACACTTAAATGCAAAGTCACTCATTTATAAGTCATGTCCCTCTTGAAGACTCCACAAAACAGCAGTGATCCGGAAAGTTATCTGTAGTAGCCACCCAAACAAATACGTATCAACTAAATTAAAAGGAGCCATCACTCTAGGAGAGGGGACCTGAGAAGGCTGAGAGGGGACCTCATAAATGCTTATAAATATCTGAAGGGTGGGTGTTGGGAGGATGGGGCCAGGCTCTTTTCAGTGGTGCCCAGCGACAGGACAAGGGGCAATGGGCACAAACCGAAGCACAGGAAGCTCTGTCTGAACATGAGGAAGAACTTCTTCACTCTGAGGGTGACGGGGCACTAGCACAGGCTGCCCAGGAGGGTCGTGGACTCTCCTCTGGAGATATTCAAGACCTAGTCCTGTGCAGCCTGCTCTGGGTGACCCTGCTTCAGCAGGGGGTTGGACTAGATGACCCACAGAGGCCTCTCCAACCCCGACCATTCTGTGATCACTGAAATTTAGTGACTAAGAAAACAAATGCTGTCCTTGCCCTTAGCAGCAAGGGAAATTACTATGGCAGTACTAACATCATCAAGACTGGTCCTTGTATAATTCTAGAAACAATGGACAGGGAAGTAAGTAGTGTTCTGAGAGCAGACAACATGGCCTCTTCCACGCAGCAAGAGCCTGTGGAATGAGGGAGCACCTCCAGAAGGCCAAATGCTTTGAGAGATTTTGAATGCCTCAAGGTTTCATCTATGATTAACTATGGCACACCACACTGAGCTGAAGAACGCGCTGGCGTGGAGCTGTTCTTCGGCGTACGCCCTGAATTAAACTGTCTGGCTTTAGTTAGAGTATTGCCATCGAGATTCTTATCCTTAGGGGCCTAGAGGCTGCTTTCCATTGCAGCTTTTAAGGATTATGACGGCAAAGGTAGTTCAACGCAGTTCTATGTTAGAAATGTTCTCCCACATGGGACACAGCCATCCTGGTCCTCATTTCCAGTGCTTCATCCCTTGATAGTACACTGCTGTCCTGGATTCAGCCAGGTTAAAACATGACCACTGCACACTTCAGTCTTTCATTGAAATAGTGGTCTCCCACTACCACCCTTACAAAGAAGTCCTTCTGAACCGTTAGGAGACTCCTGTATGAGATTCTTACTGGTATTAATTTGAATACTTAATGCATGGTTTTACTGACAATTCTAAGAATGAATAAAAAGCTTTTCGTCTTTCAAACAAGATACACAGCATCCAAAGAATCCCCAAACTATCTCCGGATACACCTGTGTAGGTAGAATTGAGACTAATAGCTACAGTCTCAACATACTCATGAGTCCTCTTTTTGCAGCGACAATATACTTTTCCCCCAACCCCTTTGACTCAAGTAACTCATTGGATTATAGAAAGTCACCGTGTTTCAAAAAAACACCCCATATTATACTAGTTGATAAGTTACTTTAGTTATCTTGGTTTGTCTTCTGCAGGTGCTATGTTTGTTTTCATATGAGTTTGGCCAATTCAAAAAGCCCACACCCACAGCTCTATATTTAGATTATTAAATGCAAGTATTCCAATGACAGCTGATTGAGAATGACACCAGGTCAAAGTTTTGGCTATACTTTTATTTACTTCACGTACTATGAACATATACATTACATGCTACAAAAAAATAAAAAAAGACTTTTAACTGTCAAGAAAGTGGATAGTGTTATAATACAATGGCACATGTTCATATTTTTCTTCAAACTGGTTTGGTTAGAATCCTTCTCCAAAACCATTAACAAAAATGAAGTGTTTTACTCTTAAGATGATTAGAAATATTTGCATTATTAACAAATACAATTCAAACAGATTAACAAGATTTAACCAGGTCAAATATTAGTAAAAAGGCTGGGGTTTACCAAAATGAAATATGTATTAAAAAACCATAGCAGCCAGTTGTACTTTTTAGTGTGATATAATGTGTAAATGCACCAGAAGAACACAGTGTAATTGAGCATTCTGCTTTCACGGTGTATTTCTAGAAATGATTATTCTAGTTCTAACACCTGCCTATGCACAAGAGACCAAAAACACAGCCAAGTAGAGACAAAAGATTGTGACCAACATTCTTAGCAATGATTTTTTTGCACGCATTGGGGAGAAGGGAGGGAACAAACAGAAGAGGATAAACAAAGGCCACAAAAGGATTTAATCTACATGTTCATGAACAAATGTTCTACCTATTTTCCTTTAAGAGCTTGATAAGTTGAAATGTCTATTTCGTCCAAATGCAAACATACTCATTTCTATCAGCTATGAAACAAAATCACATTTCGGCTTAGAACTGAACAGTGGAAAACAGTTGCGTTAATGTATCAGTTGACTAAGAAAAACTGCTTGACAGGAACTTGGGATTCTAGTGCAACAGCAGCTATTAAGACTCCTCTAGTTTCTCTTTTTTTTGCTCTTTCAAAGGGTACAAATATTCGCAACTTACACAGTCTTAACAAAAACATATCTACAAAGTTTGCAGGGTATTCGTTAAATCAATTTACATCTTTCATATTAAAAAGGCAAGATTTGCATTACAAAATACCTTTCAGAACAAAGTTCTTTTTGTATCTTAAATAATTGCTGATTGGAAAGGTACAAACATACCAGCTTTCATTAACTGCAAATGGAAAAAATACTTCAGAACAAACTGTGTTACTCTAAGAACACACAGTTCATTGTGTTTCTTTTGCAATACCTGAAGAAAAATATAAGCATACATGGGCAACTGATAAACTCAGTATTAAGCCTGTTACTTAGAGTGCAGTTATTGAAAAAAATCAGTCCTAGTAAATAACAAGGTCAGAGGAAAGGTACAAATTAGCATTAAAGAAACCAATGTGTTTGGTTCTAGGTTAGGAAACTAACCTAGAGTTAGTTTCTCAATTGTTTTCCTTGAAGTAGATTTTGTACTAAGCTAGAAGAGATCCCACAATCACTGGCATATCACCCTCACCAGAATAACAATCCAAGCTAGAATAGCACTGCAATTCCTTTGTTACCGTTCTTCTTACAGCACTGTCACGTCAGTTTTCTAGTAATCTTCAGTAGTGTTTATAAGACTGGTGATTGAAAAGTATGATTAATGTACATTTGCATTAGTCTACAGAATTCATGAGTGCCCATTACCTGAAAATTAGTCAGATTGCAGATGGATTAGTTTTGAAGTAAAACAACTAGTATTTAAATATAACAGAAATAGTATAGTTTCCAGCATGTTACACAGTTCTGAGGTAAAGTGTTACCAGTATTCTGTTGTACGGGTCGGCACCTTGCAGCAACAGCCGTTGCAGTGGGAACTAGCCCTCGCAGCATTTACAACCAATGAGCCATTCTAGTCACATGGTTTCTATAAACCAATATAACATTTTCTGTTTGATGCTATTCAGAAAAACTGTTCTATATGGATTACACTGTAGTCAAAGTTACAGAATTTGTTTGCTTAATTTTGGTCACTAGAGTGCTGTGTTTGGAAAACAATCCAGGGTACAGGCTAAAGATAGTTACTTCAGTGTTTAATTTCAGTTTACAAAACTTACTGAATCCATTCTGATTTATGTTAGAGAAAACCAGATAAACAGAAGAATAGACTTAAAAAAAAAAATCAAGCAGTGCATAACACCACCTATTCAATGCACTGATTTTCATTATGAGCTACGAAGTCATATTTACTCTATTATGCCTTTTGAGAATCAATCCAGAAGCACACAAGTATTTTCCATTAGTTTATTAAAAATAAAATCCTCACGAATTCACTATCAAATTTTTTACAGATGGGAATTAAACCAGAAGAGTCCCCAGAGTAACTTTAAAATAAAAGTAGTATTTGATTTGTCAGTTCACCATGTTTGACACTGATTTGTACTGTAAGAGTATTGTAAAATAGGAGTACTGAAGAATTCTAGAAAAATTAAACTGGCCCTATATAATTTAATTCTATTGTAAAGCAGTGTCAATATTTTAGTATATTTAGTGAATCAAACACTGCTTTAAAGCTATGCATTAAAGTGCTATGCACACATTTTTCAGCACTGATACGGATGTTTACACTCCCATAAGCCTTGTATTTGTTGATAGATATTGGTGTGTTAATAGAAATTTTAATTTAAAATCAGCTGCTATGTTTGAAGCATCAACAGTACTGAAGAAATCAATCTAGTGTCCACAACTTCTAGAATTCCGAGGTTGATTTGATCTGTTGTTTACCACTAAAATGGTAAGCATCTGTACGTCATAAGGCTGTCCCCTGCGGGCCCTATGTAAATATGTACTGCGCATAGTTAACTGACCATGCAAAGTACTTATAGCCTTTCTAGGACAGAGAATTCAGGATTTAAAAAAAAAAAAAGCTCCAGGATAAATTTGTGACATTTCTATCTATATATTGAATTGTCTAAGGTTGACGTTCATTGCCTGAGGAAGAAGCAACATAAGCAATAGGACCGGAGAGAGCTACGTATGTTTTCGTAACATCTACGTTACTGCTTTCTCCAACTGCTGCTGCTAGCAAGGTCCAGTCTGCTGTGCACATGGACATAAGCAGGCATTACAACCTATAATCATGTACTAGGTCTGCCACTTGACACACAAGTCATCTACTGTCGTACCCTGAATTACATGACCCTTGATTAAGGAATGGTGGTGTTCAGTCCCAGGGGTTCGCAGGTTATCAGAATGCTTATACAAGCAATACCGCTTTCAAAATCTGTCGGAACATAGTCTTGATGGCATCTGCAATAAAAACAAGTTGAGATTGTTCCCATCTGTAAGCGCAACTGTTGAGCCACACTCAGCTGAAGTCCTCGTCAGGATTCTGTTGATCCAGCAGGCGAACATGTGTGAATGGAAAGTGACCACGTCTGCCATTACATTCTCCTTCCCACTGACCACTCACGTTAATCTTTGTGACCTTTACCAGCTCACCGACCTGCAGGATCAGAAAGAAGAAAGTGTTACAATTCATAAAAGCCACACAGGATGAGCTGCTACCCCTCCCCTTTAGTGTCATATCACCCAAGTACCAGATACACTTCTATAAAAAGTCGTTTTAGTCTCGACCATTTTTGATACACCAGCTTACCACCCAACATTATTTACTCCTGAAGAAAGTATAGAGAGAAAGAAGCCTACTCAGATTAGGTGAGAACTACCTACACTGAAGAGCCTGCAATCCAACACCAATCTTTGAGAGCACTCTCGGCATTGGACATCAGCTCCTACCACAACACATGCATCTCACTGAATTGACAGAGGCCTGCGCTCTGCTTTACTCCATCAACAACCTCATTAAGGGAGGGAAGGCTTGCAGGTGTACAAAGCGAACACTAACCTGCAAGCGAAAAGCCTCCTTAATTTTGAGATTCCACTAAGTGCTTTTCAGGTAGTATTGAAAAAGTTCTGGATAAGTGAGGACTATATATACATAGCCACAGATATAAACCACTCAGAAAATATGCAGGGCAATAAGAATTAGTGCCCTTGGGCTGCTCTGTTCTTACTCCGAGCATCCAGTTCTGCAACTAGCCACTACCAGAGGCAAGGCCAGATGATCTTTCAGTCCTGCCCACCATGGATTTCTCACATAAATAAATTCCATAGGTATAGTAAATACAATTGATGCCCTCTCCCTCTTATATCCAAATTGTTTGGCTAGAAAAATAAAAGAATGGTTACTACGAACCAATGAAATTATATGCTCTAGTTTAAAAGTATCCAGTTCTAAGGTACTACAGTAATATATTCTAATCTCCAACCTAATATACACATAAATAACCAATTCTAAAGGTATTGTCTCCCTTCGACAAAGGTGGAGAAACTGCACAGCAGTCACGCTCCCAAGGCTGTGCAGTCATGTAGTTATTAGCATTTTTATAACCTAAGAAAGCACAATTTGCATTGTAAAGACAATCACTGAAGAGTTAATAAACGCCACATTGAAAAGCTGCCTACCCATTCCTACCCCTCTGCATAGAATTTTATCAATAATGTTATTTACAAGTAGCATACAACAGTTTTCAGAATTCTTCCCGGGTCACAGATGGAGAATGCTTTTCGGACAGATCCACTCTATTTTCTTTCACTAATACTGTAAATAAATTCTCAAGGCATGTCCACAAGCCTTACTGCATCTCATCCAGAAATTCACTGAATATAGAGTTAGTAGTTTACACAGATGGTCATCGCTGTCTTCCCAGTTAACCCAAAATAGAATCTCATTAGTCTCACTTTCCAGGCAGTGAATAAAGAACAAGGAAAACAATTTAAGATGTTACCAACCTACATTAACTTTACAAGTTTTAATCACTTGCAGTCTTTTGCCTGAAAGGGCTTTTAACAGTTCATAAATTCAAACCACTACATGGACATTTAATTAAGCTTCCCATACCTCTGATGATTACTTATCTGGTAATGAGAGGCACACTTGGGACTCTAGATGTAGCTTTATTTTTTCCTCTTGTATTCACTAGTGTAGACATTTTAATGAATCATATTTTGAAGAAAATCCTCTTATATATTTGCTACAGGCAAAAAGAATGCCTTCCTTGACTACTGAATACTAGCTTCAGCTCTTTAGGAATTTAATCATGCAGCATGTATAATTTTGCTACTGCTAACAATCCCTGGGGGGCTGTACCAATAAAAATATTCTGTTGACCAAACAATACATCAGCCATAATTTAACAAGGATAAGATTACATGTGACAATACTAGAAGCAGAACATCTTATTTCCTAATCACAACCATTCTAAGAACACTATCCTAGGTAACTTTAAATTGCTTCAGACCTAGATATAATCTATGTATTCAACAGAAACGTATATAACCTCCAACCCACTAGGAAAGAAAAAGCACAAGCTTGCTATCTGTAAGGGATTTTTCTTCAGACTGCTGGCCTCTATGCTCTTGCTGAATACCACCCACTACTTTATGTTCATATACAGTTTATCCTGGATACCTTACAACAAACTCACCTGCTAAAGGTGGATTCAACAGTGCAATGATAGCGAGTTAGAATATAGGATGCTTGTGAGCCTCACTCACACCCAGAAGCATCCTGTAGCCGTTTGTTTGGTTTTCAGGGGTGTTTCAGGGTCATCGCAGCAAAGGGATGCCCATTTATGAATTCTCCTTACTAGAAGAAGCTACACTAAAAATCTGCATTTCCATAATTATTAAAAGAGGAAAGACGCTGAGCTTAAATATTCCTTTTTTACCATTACGGTAATTTCATTTAGCGATGACCCTCTCTTTCTGATACAATCTTTCACTCATATTTCATTTGTATGTATCTTCTCATTTCATTTATATACATCTTTACACCTATCAAAGTAGGACTGACTTTAAGTAAGCACGGGTCATTTCACAAATGCTAGCTTAATAAAGTAGTTCCACTAGTTCCTTAAGAACTTACAGATCTTCCTACAACTGCTTCGAAACTCTGCATATTAATCCATATCTCAAGTACTCTCCTGAAGACAATAGAGAGAACCTTTCCAAAAAATTACTCATTCTTACAAGTGCTGAAATTTCAAAACATTTAGACTAGAATTGGATGTTCTCTCCAAATTCTCCTCACTTTCAACATTGACTTATGGTATCATTAGTCTATCATGCATCATCCCACCAAGCACAGCACCTCAAGAACAACATTGTATCCTGTTATAAAGCCAGATCTGTCTCAGTCTTCATCAGATGTTTTAAAACTAAATATATCCCATATGCTTCAAAGCAAAACTGAAGGTTCATGTGAAGACTTCTGTGTGCTGTGGTTTTATTCCAAGTACTCCTCTTTGGTAAGGTCAAAATGGCAGAGTTCTGCTACTGTTACAAAGAAAAAAAATTAATTTTTCTCAGAGGCATTCACCACATAGATCTTCCCTTTTTCTCCTTTTTTCTTTTAAACAGAGACTGACAATTCCTCAAATAGGTCCAGTTACAAGCAAAATAAAAGTTACCTTCCCCTGCTGAATCTATTTTCCATAATACAGCATAGTCTTTATTAGAACATCATTTGCTCTGATCCTCCTTCCTTGAGCTCTTCAAAACCACACCAGTTTTAAAATAATAGCACAGAACAGATACTCTGTTTGCAGTTTGGGCGAAAAATGTTTGATGTTAAGAATCTATTTTCTTAAGAGAGACACTGGGATCCACTCCCACCCATGAATATTGCCAGATTTAAGGATAAGAGTGTTCATTTGGAAAGCATCCCACTTTTTATATTTATAGTTATTATGAGGTCTGGGCAAAAATGGACTGATAAGATTTACATAATGCTTTCTACTAAGTTATCTAAGAAAGATATCTCAAAATAAACAGAGAAGGAACACCATGAAGTGAAAGGGAATGTGGAAAAAAAGGAGACAACAAGGAACAGTACTTTGATAGACAAGATGAGGAAAAACTTGGAGAAAGTGCATATTGCTGATTTTTCCTGTACAGACATTGAAAGCAACTCAGTAACACTGTGATTCAAATAGATGAAAGCTGCAAAGAAGCGAGGAAGGCCTACTAGAAGCAATGATAAATGGCTCACATTTTAAAACTAGAATTTCCCCATATTATATACAGAAAAAAGAACTACCACTGTCATTGCATTTCTTCAATGTAGAGCTGTAGCAAGACAGGAACACATCATCCTAACAGAGAGGTTCAACAGGTCAACTAGTAAGTATTTCAGTAAGTTTATAAGGCCTACAAAGACCATTGTTCTAATATAAAGGCAGAAAGACGCTGTAAATCTTACTTATATCCTCACACAGACAGGCTGAGCCTACACACTTCTCCAGTCCCCCCTCCCAAACACTTCAGCTATCTAGCCTATTATCATGAGTTAGTAGAAGACACTAGTGGTGCAGGCTAGCTCAGAACAGAGAGATGTTCTCCATGAAACTATGTTCTCTAAAGCACAGCACACTTGCCAGCTCCTGTGAGTTCTAGTGAAAAGGACTGAACTAACAGATCAGTCATAGCACTCACAAGCTGTTCTTTAACATGCAAAGGATTTTGCTTTCACTCAAAGTTGGTTACGGTGACCTGGATTATCAGTATTTTCTCACTATTTCACTCCGTGCTACCAAACTATGAGTTGGGCAGTCTTGTGGGGTTCTGCTTTGAAGTAAAACATATAGTTAAGCTTAGAGAACACTAGTAGCACACTAATAAATAAAAGCTTAAGAACAAAATCCACAAGGAAGACCAAAAGGTTTTGATAAATGTGCCACAACATAATATCCAGTGGCTCAAAGAAAATCTAACATCTGGCAATTGCAACAGTCCACAATGACATTCAGGAATACTTCCAAGCTCCAGGAGGTGGCTGGGTGGTGAGAGAGAGAAAAAGAGGGAAACAGACAGCATTTTAGGCTGTATGAAATTCTGAAGGTTAAAAATCTTTGCATGTTTCCCCAAAATCTGGTGAGTTGGCATAAATTTCTATACAAGCTTCTCAACCCCAAAAAATACGTTCTGTGTCCTGGCTCTCTTTTGATGCAGAAATATAACAGAATGGGTAAGAACTCAAGAGTGTATTTACATAGCTTCCCTAGACAAATTTTTACCTACAACAGGGAAAAATTTCACATCTCCCAAAATGTACACCAATTATCAGATCTGTAGAATGTGTTGCATTTGTCAATTCTGCACTAAAAACACAGACCTATAGTTGCCACATTACTGAAGTGCCTTTCGTGCTATGCACAATTAAACGAAGTATTTGAGAGTGAAGAGGAGATGGTCTGACTCAGCACAGAAACTGTTTTTTCCCAAGTACTTAAAATGTTATATAAACAGGAAGTCAATTAGGTATCAGGAAATTCCAGAGCCTTTAGCTCAAAGAAAGCCTAGATTAAAGGATACAATTTACATGTCATCCCAAGGCAAAGGTCTGCCACTGAGGATACCTTGCTCTCAATTTCCTCAAGAGTAACTTGGGGAATAACTATCTGATTTGTAGATAGAGCACTCTAGTCTCCTTTTTAAGAGGGGGGGG